CCAGCCCGATGTTCAGAACAACACCCCCGCGATGTCAAGGAATCACCCGATGTTCAGGAAACCGCGATGTTGCAGGACATCCCGATGTCTCATGAAGCACCCGATTGTTCAGGAAGCATGGGTGGCCGAGACGGCGTCGTGTGGCTGCAGCGTCCGAATGTTCAGGAACACCCGATTGTTCAGGCAACACCCCGATGTTCAGGCACACCGAGTCAAACACCGAATATTTCTTGCACTATTTATCGCTGGAACTAAACGAATTGAACATTTCATATGATATATTACACACTTGTCATTTCACCCCAACTAAATTCTCGTAGTTAGTCTTACAAAAAGCGCTACAACACTTAAAGATCCGGCTGCTCGACACGCACGCGACGCACGCAGCACGCACGACGCACGCACGCACGCACGCATGCCACGCACGCACGCAACGGCACGCACAGCACACACGCAGCGCACGCACACAACGCACGCACGCACGCACGCGTAGCACGCACGCACGACACACATCTTCTCGCCTACTCCGTAATATATAACAAATACACCAACCATATCTATAGATAAAATAGCACAGGAGTCGATATCTTGAAAATCAACCTTTTAATACCCACTTGATGAAAGCTGCTTTCTAAATTCACGGCCTTCTGCTATATCAAGGCCTAACCAAAATCTGTAAGTCACAAAGATTTTTACTTTCTGCTACACCAACTAAGCTGCAAGTGATGTTGTATTAACCTGCAGTGTTGGTGACGAACACAAAGATAAACAACGACGAATTTAACAAGAACACGAATCATTACTTTTATTTTGTTGGTCAGTCATCGAACTGCCTTTAACACCGTTTCCATGACAACAGCCTTCGATGTAGTCGCACACGCGTGGTCCTGCACGCAAGATCTTACACATACAAAAACAGTAATCATATGGTTTTGTCAATTCTCCGTCGAACACTAATCTTGTAAGCCAAGCTGGCATCAACGCCTTGCCTAATCCGCAGGCAAATTAGAAAAAAAGATTGAAAAAGAATCGAGGATTTTTAATAGTAGGAAAAGCTTTAACGGATAGAATCAAGACTTTACGCAGGTTTTTGTTTTCATGCGTAATAATATTTCTATTATTAATTCATAATAAAAATTGTGGAAATGAGCTCGCGTGTCTTAATCTAGTGTTAGTAACCGGAGGCTACCAATAAATAATTGTAAAAAATCCACAACCAGAAGTTCTGTAGCACGGTGCAATATACATAAATGTGGCTAGCCAACTAAGGCGAAACTGAAATCACTGTAAATCTGTCCTTCACATCACTAAAAGTCGTAGCTGCCATGTAAACAGCTAGCCTTAGCACTCTGTGACATTTTCTTGAAAGACGAACAAATAAATAAATTTCATGCATCTTACGCTGCAAAAAACTAGCCTGACAACTACTAGTTACAGGACGAACAGACACACGACAAATTTTAATGATCTGTAAAATGAAGGTATAAGCTAAAAACAATAGGTACGTCAGATAGCTAAGAAGCCTAAAAACGTGTCAAAATAACCAAGAAGTAGAAAGTAATTTCCCGGCGACTTATAAATAAATGCGTTTATTAAATAAATGTAATATATATTAATATATATAGATATATATATATTATAAGACTTCCTGGATGACAAGGACACGACAACATTGTCGACAACATTGCGGTGACGACGGCGGTGACGGACAATATCTACACCGCCACGCTCTCGCGGGAAGTAGCCATAAACCTAGTTTAAAGCTGCAAAACGTCCTGAGGAAACATACGAATGTATAGCACTGGCATTTCTCCCACATTGTTATGCGCACGCAGACGAGACCTCGGACTCTTGCGTAAGAAATTACAATTACCCATATTTTACAGAACTCCGTATAATTACGGTTACCGCGAGCAGGAAAATATTATACATCGCTTAAAAAAAAAAAAAATGTAGCGCTGTACAATTTCCGGCTATGCATCGCATTCCTGAGAAGGTCTGCCCGCTAATCGTGGACCATTGCGACATGCTCGCCACTCAATCACTGCGCAATTACCAATCTGTAAGGTCGATGAATTCGATTATTCACATTTCCCGCTCATTTATCTTCTGGCTCTTTTTATCGAAGAGATGGAAGTGGAGATTCGAGAGACAGTGAGAACGTACGGAAATAATGAGTTGACAGGAATAAAACCGCGACACGCAACGCGCCACACAGCGCAGCGCACACACGCGCAACGGAGCGCGCCGACACACAGCACGCCACGAGCAGGGCCACACACACGCACGCACGCAGCACGCACGCACGCTACGGCACAGCAGGCACGCACGGACGCAGCGCACGCGACGCAGCCACCAGGCACGCGCGCACGCCGTCAGCGCGAGGCCACCAGCGGCGCACGGCAAGGCCACGCACGCGACCGCAGGCAAACGCAACGGCAGCACGCACGCGCACGCAGGCACGCACGCAGGCACGCACGCCAGCAGCGCACGCACACGACACAGCAGCAACTAATGTGTACTTACGGAGGAAGTATGTTATGTACTTACGGCGGGTGTACTTTCATGCGTTTCGTTGAAGAACCAACAAACCTAGCCAACAGAGATCGAAGCGAAAAGAAAGAAAGAGAGGAGAGAGAGAGAGAGAGAGAAGAGAGAGAAGAGAAGAAAGAGAGAGAGAGAGAGAGAGAGAGAGGAGAGAGAGAGAGAGAGAGAGAGAGAGAGTCAGATAAGAGATGGCTGGGTGGAAAGGATTTATGGCTTTACTTAAACAGGGATAGAGAAAGTAGGATAAATATCTAGTGAGACGTACGGACCATATTGCTGAGCATCACAGAGCATTCGCACCGCTGCGCTATCACACGTGATCCGGTTTTGATTGTGCAGCAGATCGACTCGCGGCTTCCGAGTATTGATCGCACCACACGTTGATTATCTGCAGGAAGGACAGATTTAATTACTGATTATCTGCGCAGCTTTCCGCAGATTTAACGATATTAGATTTAATCAAGATTGGA